TTTTTCCAATAATGATGATAATAGAGATAAAAATAGAATTAAATTAGAAAAAAACATTATAGACAATGATTAATGATAATTTAATTTATGTATAAACTTTTAAATTTTTTTAATAAGTTTCTTGGTAATAATAATACAATAATAATAATCAATAGCTTTTCTTCTATTTGAATTTAATAATTGAAGTGAATCAAGTCTTCTTTAATTGAATCTTCTAGTGCAGGCATAACTACAGGACTTTCCATGAATCACAAAAGTCCTTTGCTAAATCAGCAGGATTATCATTAAGATGAATATAATGGTTTGTGAATGACCATTCTCAAGTTCAATATTAATTATTTTCTATGTTTATGTTTATCAATACATCTTGGTGTTTTTTCTAATGTTTGGTCATTTGTCAACTCTATCATCAGTAGGTGGTGGCAAGAATGGTGTTGAAAATGATGGTGGTGAGGAAGATTGGTTCCAATATGGAGGATATAGAGTTGAATCAAATTCTTGAGGAATAAAAGATATATTACAATTGCCTTGATATGATTTGAATTTGCTTGAAGCTGTCTTATTATTTTAGCAGATTTTGATTTTGCACTTGAGCTATTTCCATTTATTATTATTTTCATCAAGATTATTCTTGTTTTTATTCTTGTTGTTATTATTTTTTGTTTTAGATTTTGAAGTATTTGTGTCATTTTGTTTTGGCTTATTTTTCCAATTAGAAGAATCAGTGATATTTTTGATTGATAAGAATGATTCTGATTATTTTGAGATGAATTACCTACCTCTCTTATGATGATTTTTTATTAGGAATTTTTTTCGTTGTATTTCTAACAAAGTTTTCTCATCAGCTGGAATAAATTTTTTTCCTTAGTGATGTAATTAAACTGTGCCTAAACCGCCTTTTCTTATTTTTATGCAGGGATTAGCAAGAGAATGTCATGATTGCAGCAGTTATTACATTCATAATCTTTAAACAAAATTCTTTTCCAGGTTTTTCATCCATTGAGGGCTGAGACTTGCTGGAATCAGTTGATATAATAATTGTTGCTGTAGTTGATAGCTGATAATGATGGTGATAGATGTTGTATTATAATTGTTGTTGTTGCTGTATTTGCTGGGTGTTAGATCAATTTAGTCATAATTCTTGTAGTTGATATTGATGTGTGCAGCCATTTGTTGTTGAATTTATAGCATGTATACTATTAATGGTCGAAGTTGAGGTTGTTGCAGGTTTGTCTAAACAGTTTGTTGAAATTGGCTGTACTATATCGTAATTGTGACATAGATTGTAATCATGATGGTGATAATTAAGGTGGTCAATGTATATGACATAAATTGAGGTTGTGATTTTAAGTATTTATTATTATAATTATTATTGTTATACCATGCATTTTAATAATTACTATCATGATCGTCCGTACCATTGCTAATACCATCGGTGTTATATATACTCCTTTCAGAACTCCAATCTAACAAGCCTAAGGATCGCACTTGGAGCAGCAATATTTTTCAAGCTAGTATTTACATCATTTATAGCACCAAATTGTTTAACGTCGCTACCACCACTATCTTGATACAACCTGCTTGAATCTAATACTTGTGTTGAACTATTGTTGTTGTTCACATCATTCCGTCCATTCATTGTTAAATTCTACATAATGTTCTTTATGAATAATACAAAATTTTGCGTAATGTGAGTTTCTTCTACCTTTAAATATATACAATAATAACATAATAATAATAATAATACTTGATAACATGAGAACGAACCGCCTTCATTTTTTGAGACACAAATACTATGAAGATTAATATAGACTATACAAGAAACATTTGAATTAATACCAATATGTTCCTGTGATGGAATGATAGCGTTAAACCTAGAAATTGTACAAGATGGATTTTAACATTAAACTCTCTATGATATAAATCCGCATTTAATTTTGTAACATTAGATTAAATATTACAAAAACCATTTATAATTCGTTGGTTTAATCCAGTATTTCATTTCCCCATTTTTAATTTTTACTAAACATAACAGGAGAGACCGTTCTGCATAAGGAAAGAATTTTCACAATTGATTTCAATTTTTTTTTTTTATACAGTTTAAAATACTTTTACAAGGGTATCGCGTAGCAATAAATCATATGTAAATAACTGCACAAACTTGAAGATTTTTACACTTGGAAAATATTATATCTTTTGAATCCCACAACTATCATAATATGATTTATTTGAAGAAAAATGCCTGAAATTAAACATTGCACAGAATATAAAACCACTGAATCAGCTAAATTTCGTCAACTGAAAGGCAATAAATGGAAAGAACAACAACTTAGTGAAAGTAACATGTTGTTTTATGTAACATTTGTTATATGAATTTGTAGAAAATCCTTTAAAAAGAGAACCTAGGAGAGTGAAAACCACAGATGCGGAAGGGAAGAGTAGAGGAAGAGGAAGAAGTAAGTGAAAAGATTGATTTCACTAGAGCCATCAAGATGATGGCCAAAAATCTTTATGAAAGAGAATGTTCAAATAAAGAAGGTCCTATATACGATTTTGATGAAATACAAAGAAATAGAACCAAGCTTGAAGGGGTTTTTTGACCAACTCTATTTAGCAGCTCAGCCATTTGAATGTAATGAACAATGGACCGTATGAAGATGACATGTTATTATTATGGTTCGTTTTTTAATCCAGAATTAATGAAAAACTGTACTGTTTTTCGGACAACATGAATTAATAATATCAGTTATGGATGAATTTTTGCGAATAATCTCTGGGGACAAAATGATTCAAGTATAAAACTCTTAACTTTTGTTATAACATGGAACATCAATTTTGTTTTAACGGGATTCTTATGTGAAAATACTTGCTCCACAAATTGGAATTATAATTGCTAACTGTCCTCCCAATTTCTTCAATACCGAATTCATCTTTATCTGGTAGTTCTTTTTACATATGCATAATTTTCTATTTTGGGGGTTTGAACTCACAATTCCCATACTTCTTCCTCTTGGTTAATAAATAAGACTCATCAAAATAGGTATATTCAAAAATAATATAAAATTACAACCTTCGTGTTTTCCAATGCTTGCTTGATCAAATATAAATTTCTATATAACACTGAGGATTAAACTATTCTATGAAGTTGTTATCATATAATTCACTCTCGATTGATTCATAACAACTATTATGCAAAGTTTAACTCACAAGGACCAAAATAAAAAGGGTCATTTACTAAACATAAATAGTAAATATCATGTAATCGATGTCATATTCAAAAATTATATCACCAAATCCAATATCCTCGAGTTAATCACTATTACGAGCATCACATGTAAATCTTCCTAAATAAAGTAGTTTTAGAATATTCGAATAGGAACATTGCCTTGAGTAATCCTTTAATTTCACTTAGATTAGTCCACAAGAGAAAACTTTGTGAGATATCGTTACCTACCTTGCTAGTGGATCTAATTGAACAATCTAGCATATCTTGAGCCAATGTGTGAATGACTGGACCCGAAATCATGTCCAATTCTTTTTTACTAAAGCGATCCCATTATATTCCAGAAGGAAATTCAAAGGGTTAACATCAAAAGACAGAATTATGACCTTTAGATATTTATGTGCTGCATTATTTGCATACATATAAAAGGTAGAGATGGTAGTAGTCACATAATAGGTTTAGGATTATGCAAACCGGTTTATCAAATAAAACCAGGACCCTGGTTCTGTTAATTTTTCGTCGTCATAGTAAAACTTTGACAGGATTAAATCGAAAAAATTTTATTTATTGAAGCAAAAAATTTTAAAAGTTGCAACTATTATTTGTTTTTATTATTTCAAACTTCATTACGTTATGAACATTTTTCCTACTACGTGAATTTTGATATTATTATTATTATTCACTTTATACATTGACTCCACTTTCCAAATAACCAATATCATAAATAAATATATAATATATATATAATAAATTTATAATGGAAATTAAATTAATCATCCATAGACAATTCATCAACTTCCTCGATTCTTTCAACATCTTTTTCATTGTTATCACTATAATCTAACGTTTATTAATGATAATAATAATAATTAGTAATTTCCAATGAATTAATGAAATTTAACAAAACTATAAAAATTTATAATTCACCCTTATTAAGATTAATATTTAAAAACTCATTAGATAGCATCGAAATATCATTGAGTGGCCAATGGATATGATTTGTGTATTCGTTGTAAATTATTATTAATAGAATTTTTATTGTTACTACTGCCACCATTATTATCATCGCCACTGCCAAAATCACATTAATATTGTTTTTTAAATCTCCAGCTTTAGATATTTTATCTAATTTATTTTGAACAACAAAAACTGTTATTAATTATTAATTTATTAATAATGAAATAGGGTTTCTATTCGAATTATTTATTTTATTTGTTATGAATTGAGTATTCAAAAATTTATTCAAATAACGCGAATAATTCGACGAATAAAGCGAATAATTCAGCAAATAAAATAAATAATTTGATGAATAAAACGAATTATTCAACAAATGAAACAAATGGTTCGACGAATGAAACGAATGGTTCGATGAAACAAATGGTTCGACGAATAAAACAAATTATTCGACGAATAAAACGAATGATTTGAATAAGAATATGTATTATAAATAGAAACTCTATAATGAGATTATAATTCACCTTTATTAAAAAAATCATCTAAGGGAATAGAGTTAATATCAAGATTATTTAATGAAGTGTTGTTGTTACTTGTATAACTTTTTAAGCTTTTAATTTTAATAATTTTGTCATCTAATATTCTACTTGTATGATATGCTAATGGATGTACTCGTTGTGAATTACTACTACTAATACTATTATTACTACTACCAATACTATTATTACTGTTAATATAATCATTATTATTAAGAAGAATTTCTTCCAGTTTATTTTTAACAAAATCATAAAGCTCTCTAATGGTTGGTCTTTTTGATGAATCATCATCCCAACATTTTTGCATCATTTGTGAATAATTGTCAGGCATTTCTGGTAATATTGGTGGTCGTAAACCTTCACATATATCAAAAACTAAACGATGACTATGAGCTCTATTGTCAAATGGTGGATGACCTGCAAATATTTCCCACATCAACATCCCAACACTATAGATATCAGTTTCTTTTGTGTTCTTTGTATTTGTTTTGCCTCTAAGTAGCTCAGGTGCAACATATGACACAATTCCATAAATTTTATTTGATGATTTTTCGTCAACTGGCCCACATAATCCTAAATCTGTAATATAGCAATTACCTCCTTGCAGTAATATATTACCACTATGCAAATCACAGTGGATTAAATCTTTTTCATGTATGTCATATAATGCATTACATAAATAACTAAAGATTGTAATCCTATCTTTTAATGTTAAATTTGAATGATTTTTTTGTAGATAATCCCTTAAATTTCCTTCTGAATGATAATAAAGAATCATTGCATAGTTTCCATTATCAGAGAATTTAGTTATACCATAACATTCAACAATCAGTGGTGACTTAATTTTACAATAATTCATTGCCTGTAATTAAACATAAAATCAATCAACATTATAGAATAGCATTATTTATTTTTGATTTAAATAAAGATACTAACTTCATCAAAAAAACGTTTTCCTGGGTCATTTAAACTTTTTAATGCAATTTTTTGTCTTCCATAATAACTAAATTCCTTTTCATTTTCATTATAATCAAATATTCTCCCTCTTGTCCATATAGCTGTATAAATTGAGCTAAACCCACCTTCAGTTAATTTTGTTATGTTTTCAAATTGCTCAAAAGGTATCCATTCTAAAATATACCTTGGCAGAGATGATTTCATTTGACATTGTTGAATAAAATTATCAACAATGTTACTTCCAGACGTCCAAGTACTAAAAAGATTCTGTAATTGTAAACTAATACAACCTTCACAGAATCTATCAGAATATTTTGTTGATTTACATTTATTACATTCTTTTTGTTTGCCCAATTTATCTCTTGCGTTATCTAATTCAAAATCATAAATAAACCTTTCTTTACAATATTCTTCTTCATCTTTGGAAAGCTCCTTATTTTCTTTGACTAGTGAAAAAAAATTCACTTTTATGCTTTCTCTATCAGAATTAACAAAAACATTATTATACATTTTGTTATAAATTTTAAACACGAATTCCTCTCTTTCTGGCAGTAATAATTTATTATATGACATTTTAAATTTAAACTTGAACAACGAAGAATTCAAATTTTTATCCCAAATGATAAAAGAAAAGAATATTATGGGGAATGTCCAACCTGCAATAGATGTTAGGACTTTTGAACCTATATATAAAAAAATTAACAACCGCCCGCGAATTTAACAATTAGAGAATTTGAATGCATGTGTAACAAAAAATAATAAAAGGTTTTAAATTCACTCCCCCATAATATTAAACATATATAATAATAAAGATTAGTCGTCATCCACCCTTTTACTTTATTATTATAATAAATAACTTCAACTAAATAAAACATAGTAAATTCGGGCAATGGACTGTTGAAGTATCTTTTCCTTCGAACTAGGGTTATTTGCAAGAAGCAAGTTAATTTTAAACACTCGCCTACCAGA